TCGCTACTGGGTTGGAGGCCATCGCTATTGGGTTGGAGGTCATCTCTTGTAGGGTGGAGGCCATCGCTAGTAGGGTGGCGTAGGTTGGAGGCCTTCGCTTCTAGGTTGGAGGCATTAAGTAGGCGCTTGCTGAATTGGTTAGTAGCTATTAAGTTATTAGTTATTAGGTACTAAACACACTACGTATGGACACAGGATAGCTCACGCTTGCTAAATCGATTGGTTCCTAGATTTTATAGGGACAAAATATGTACCGTTCTGTTCTTTCAACACGTTTCAATGGAAAGAAGACCGTTGCAAAGCCCGTATGTGGAAGGCCTTCCAAACAACGCTAAATATCGCAGGACCACGCACGCACAAACACACACACACACATAGCAAACTTGGCAAACACTCGCAAAAGAGTCCAGCCTCTGAACGAGATCGATAGTCCTGGCACACAATCTGTGCCAAGATATGAAACACATTCTCAAGCATCTTGTCTACCGTATTGGTTCCTGAACTAAAGCCATGTCTAACGTTCTCCAGCTTTACACAAAAAGTGTGTTGGTTCGAGCGTGCGATTTGTACTGACTACAATAGGGCTCTGATGGAGAAGTCCAAAAGTCTAGACCATCATCGAACCATGCTGGATCCTTGTGTCTCAAAGCCTTCTTTTAAGGACTAGTAAAATTAGTAAAATTAGTAAAATGTTAACTGTTATCACAATTGCTAGAGCTCGGAGTGTCTTCCCCAAAGACACCCCAGTGCAAGCAGGCCAAACGTTGCCAATGTCCTGCCCCCACCCTACTGCCCACGACTTGAACATTTGCAGAGGGCCTTCCAGATTTGAAGTGGCAGTTTGCGCCAGTGAGTCTGGCGACTTGTCTCCTGTTTTGTGTATAGAGTATAGACCCGTGTGCGTGGCACAAGCCGAACACCTCTCCCGGGATCTTTCGTGATCCGTGGCGTGAGTGGTAAGGAGGTCTTTTGCACAGCAGGCAAATCGAGCAAGGCTGCTCAGGCGCCTCCAAGTTCTCTGCAAGGCTGCGCAGAACCTCTCTGAAAATCCGTCCACCAGGCCTGGCCACATGCTCTCAGAATCGAAACATTGAACCAAAGGCACGACAAAACATGAAAAAATACATCAAAACAAAATGCAAATTTGCAGTAGCCTCAGTTTCGCACGCAAAACGTGCGGCATTCCTTCTTGGTGTACGAATTCTATCCAGTTCAGAGACACAAGCAGAGTCTCCTCGTGACAGTGGCTGTCTTCAAGTAGTGAAGACATCGCTCAGCAGCCTGCATCACCCAAACCCTCCTCTTGAACTGCCACTGCTCATGTGGTGCTATCCACAAAGCAGGATCCAAGTGGAAGTGACATCAAAGACTGCAGCCGTCAAACAAACTTTTTGCTGATGAGAATTCCATTGGAGCCTCAAACTCAAAGTGCAGGGCCATTTCTTCGTGAAAAAGGTGTTGCACCTTCAGATCAAAAGCACAAGGCTGTTGTCTCTCAAAATGTGCCCAAAATGAACTGAATTAAAGCTGCTACAAATTTGCAGGATCTCGCAAACTTGCCTCTTTCATCCCGTCTCTAAACCTTTCGGCTAGATGACTATATAGTGCCTTGCCATCAAAACGCAGCTACCTTGTTGTGAAAGTCACCATCCAACTTGGCTTCATCTTCTTCAGCCCGCAGGAATCGCTCCTGAGAAATTGCAAGAATCATGTCTTGGATTTCGCTATTTGCGGGATTGGCAATCTGTCTTCGAGATGTTATTCCTTTTTCCCTCGCCCTTACTTCAACAAGTGGGACGCAGGACAGGTCACGCTTCTTCAAGGAAGCTCCCCCCACCTGAGGGCACGGGGGAGCTTCCTTGAAGAAGCGCTCGCACTATATAGTGATTTGGTTCTTAGATGTTCTTAGATATTTAGGAAAACTTAACGATGGAGCTAAAAAGAATGCTCGGTCTCCATTCTTCGATCTCGGTTTTCCAAATCGGACCCTTTCACCCGACATGCACTGACGCGGCTGAGCTCCCGTCCAGCAAATGAGCCCACCTGCAACAGAGAACATCTAGTGTTCCAGGCAGAAGGAGGCATCTTGCCAAGAAGCGAATCACGGGAAGCAAAGCGGGAAAAAAGTATCAACAATTCTAAGCTACCTTTTCTAGAGCAAAAACACACAAGCTTTTTGGGTGGCAAAGTTCAAGGTGTGTAAAGAACCTGGTTCGTTCAAACATATGTTCTTTGCTTTGCACGTTGTTTTTTCTGGAAAAGCTGCTAGATGCTCCGAAACGTCAAGGAGACAGGGCCATTCCAAATCTGCTCCAACAGCTCAAAATGTCTTGACCAAAGTGCGACCACTGTGACCATTCCCATGTCGCAGGTCATTGTCACACTGAGCTGGTGGCTGAGCGGTCAAAGAAGTACGTTGCCGTATGGCTGCCTACAGGGCCAAAGGTCAAAAGTGCTGTTTCAAGGTGCCCAAAACAGCACCTTGTTCCAAGGCACTTTAGCACATTGTTCCAAGCGCCATTGGAAGGTGTTCATCTTGAGTTAGGCTGAGGCTGCAACTACACTGATAATGCTAAAGGATAGCCTGAAGAGCCGAAGTACACGAAGTGCGAGAACACAAAAGTCTCTTCAAAAAGACCCAACAAACAATGTGGGTTGGAGGCCATCGCTATTAGGCTGGAGGCTGTTAGAGGCCATTGCTATTAGGGTGGAGGCGTTCGCTCTTAGGTTGGAGGCTCACTAGCAGGTTGGAGGCCATCGCTCTTAGGAACAAGGGTAAACCTCAGTGGGAACTATATCGCCAGAACCACAATGCAGGCCTCTTCAGGGATAAGGACACCCGCCGCTGCCTCAAATTCTGAGCCTGCTCTTCTCTCCAATTGAAAGAGCTGCGGAGCTGGATTGATCTAAGCTCATGGCAACTCGAGATTGCTGGGATCACTATCGCTTAGCTTGATCAATTCGTCCAGGACATGCTGGGGCTGACCTCACAAATTGATCCCTCGTCAAGACACAAATTTGGGACAGCTCCGAGGTCGCTGCATATGGAATTCTCACAAAGCCTCTGTCAAAATCATCTTGGGAGTGTTCTTTCAAAAAACTTGACGCCGCACCTTTGGAGAGCATCACAAAGCACCTGAAAGACCTGGAGAAACGAACGAATCATGAGGCCATCGCTACTAGGTTGGAGGCCATCGCTACTAGGTTGGAGGCCATCGCTACTAGGTTGGAGGCCATCGCTACTAGGTTGGAGGCCATCGCTACTAGGTTGGAGGCCATCGCTACTAGGTTGGAG